GAGTCTGGTGCTAAGGGTTGTGAGGTTGTCGTTTCTGGAAAATTACGTGCTGCTCGTGCCAAGTCCATGAAGTTCACTGATGGTTTCATGATCCACTCCGGTCAACCAGCAAAGGACTTCATTGACCACGCCACCCGTCACGTTCTCCTCAAGCAAGGTGTTCTCGGTATCAAGGTCAAGATCATGAGAGGATCCGACCCAGAAGGAAAGTCTGGACCATCCAAGGGTCTTCCAGATTCCGTCACCATCATCGAGCCAAAGGAGGAGCAAAGTGTGGTTCAACCTATGAGCCAGGATTACGGTGCGAAGGCTGCCGCTGCTCAAGCAGCTGCTGAGGCCGCTCGATCATCGGAACAGGCTGGTGAAGAGGCTGCTCTAGCTCCCCAAGAGGAATAAATTTATGGATTAGTAAAATAGGATGGGCGTTTCCTGCGAGTTCATAGTTCACGGACTTGTATTCACATCTAGCCAACGAAATTTACGGCTTTAAAAACACTTGAAAATAATGTTACATGATACTATTAAATGTGATACCAAATGCCACCACTTTAGCTTGAATTCAAAAGTGAGAGTCAAACTAAGCTTATAGCGCCTCATGAGAGCCCATTCCTTGATTTACCCATTATATATCGTACAAATAGATGTCTTTCCCCCAACCGTCTCATTTTGTACACAATAGCAACCCAAACGCCTGATCCTCATGCAGTCGTACTTTGAGTTATAGCCCCAGCCAGCAGACCAGCCTGCCACCAAAATGATATTTTAATGAAATAAAAAAAAAAACACGCACGACCCTCACAAGTAAATTCCAACCCTTAGCATATGAAATATACAGCCCGAACATGTTCGCAATAGTTTCGAAACGTGTGTCATCACATCAAATAAACTGTTATTCCTATTGGAGATGTCACCGATTGGATGATCTGCCCGGCCTCTCCTGCTCTAATGGCTCGCTGAAACTCTTTTTGCTGCTATGCCCGTTGATCTTCCCATTCATAGCTCGTGGAGGTAGCGAATCGTCGTCGCTGTCGTCTGCTAGGTCCGCAAGACCGAATCCTGCGTTCTCTTCTTCGTCATATGCATGAATCAGCCCCTCTCTGTCTCCTCTGCCATATCCATTGCTTCCCATGCTCATCCTGTGCGGATCGTTGCTTCGGCGGGCCTGCATACTTCGTCTCGTCGACAAGCCGGAAAGAGGGTCGGTCGCTATACCGTCTGTGCCGGATACCATCTTGTTTCCCTCAGGGTCAGTTCTCGAGACGTTGAGTAGGTAAACCCCTGTAAAAATGACAAGGAATCCGCATAGGAGGGAAATTGTGTTGACCGCATCAGAAGTGTTGAACCCGCCGTACAAGATAAATGAGGCGGTAAGTGTTGCAGTCGTGAAAGTAACGTAGTAAAGTGGGTTTACGCTGGGTAGACGTTAGAATCAAAAAAACGGGCTCAAAATTGTACATGACTTACATAGAAGTGGGAAACTGGCTCAACGCCTTATTGAAATAGTTCATCTGTGTCAAGATACAGACTACAGTTACGATAATGAAGACGTAGGTTGAGGGATAGATGAATTGATTTTCACCACCCAATGTCAACTTTACTGCAATACCAAATGCTTTTACTGACATGACTGAAACACTGCCGACAGTTGAACAAATCGACAAGTAAACTAGAGGATTCTTTTTGCCATACTTTGGGGTGACTTTGTAAATCATAACGATTGCAAAAACTGCAACGAAAAGACAAAAGAAAAGGAATCCTGTCGATATTAGCATGCTTCAGAAGCGAGAGAGAATTTTTAGCATACCTGGTTGGATAGCATAGTGAAGAATCTCATCAATTCTCTTAATTTCCTTGTCCGGGGGCGCGTGAAGAACAATAATGACCGATCCTATCAAGCACGTCGCGCAACCCAATTTCCCCAATGTACCAAGTTTCTCATCCAAAAAGTATGACCCTAGAACCGCTCCGATCAAAACACTGAGCGCTCCAAGAGGTGTGACCAGAATTGCTGGGGCGAACGCATATGCTGCAAAATTTGCTATTTCTCCGACAATTACTGTTCATATCCTATTAGCTGATTTTCCCCGCGTGGTATGCAAGTTGACCCGTACATGCTATTATACCACCCCACCATATCGGGCTCCTCAAGTATGTGAATCCATCTCCTTCGAAACCGTGTCTTTCTTCGGCATCCATCAGCCCCTAAGGAAATCGTCAGTGAATGATTACAAATAAATATTTGAAATGTGAATGTTCGTACCTTCTTAGTTATGACGAAACTTGTGCCTGTCAGGGAGACGCAATGTTAGTCTCATTTTTTCCACTTTGCCAGAATCTGTAAATCCATACCTATCGCCATAGTTGAGGTGATGGCTAAAGCCAGCCCTATGTATCTTTATCACCAGTCAGTCTTTGCCTGTTTGAAACGCCCAGCAAAACTCCATGCGCGATTGATCGGGTTCCGGATGCCATTGACGTACTTGTCTTCCAACATCCTGACTGCGCAGAGTTGAGATTTCCCTTCTAGCGGTGTTGCAAGGTGTTTATTTGATTTGTTGAGCCTTTGAGCTCACGCTCACGAAAGACCTCGTAAGGATATCAAAGTGGTAGCGCAAGTGTATAAATCGGCGCAAAGAAATCGTGTGACTTCTTTGAGTCTAATTATCGCCGAGGAGCGTTCTTCGCAAAATTGTTGAGTGTGATGATCGCAAGTCGACGTGGAGTGTCATGAGATAGTTTCACCCCTAGCTTTAGTGATAATTCTGTAGTTCGAATGCCTGTTGACCGAGGCAACAAATAATGAATGATATTTTTTCTAATTTAATGGTGATTTATTGGATGGATGGATGAATGAATGAATGAAATCCAATGAGCGGATCGAAGGATTATTTCGAAATAATGGATAATTGAAGTCACAAAGTTCTTGGCAATGTGGGATGACTTTTTATAAACTTCCGGATGTTCGAACTTTGGAGGTCGAGGTTTGGAGTTTGAAGTTTGAAGTTTGAAGCTTGAAGCTGGAAGTGAGGTTTGAGTTAGAAAGTTCTCAGGGTGGAAATTTTGCGATTTGGGTAGCACTATCTGTACCTTTACTTTTCAAGCAAGCGGCAGGTAGTTGGAGTTGGAGTTGGAAAGAAAGAGATGAAACTACAAAAAGTCAAGGTCTTTCATTTACTTTGAGTGATTGAATGGTTGAGTGGTTCATAGAACTTTGACCTTATTTCTCTGTTTGGGCCAACTGTGTTTGGCTGGGCTGGCTCACCAGTGGACACTGGAGTGACTGGACACTGGACACTGGACACTGGACAGGCTAGGTAGTTGGTAGGTAGGTCTAGCTAGCTGTTACTCTACCCTGGGCAGGTATAGTATAGTTCCTCTAAATTTAGTACACGGAGTACTCCAGTAAAACAAAATTGGATTACGATTTTTAGATTTAGATTTTAGTAAAGTCATTCGTATGAACTACCATGTTAGGTATACAAGTACGCAGGTAGAGAGGGAGAGGTACCTACCGGTAGAGCTTGATCACGAAGTCCCGTAACGAAAATCATCAGATATCATATATATATCAGCACACTATACTCTACGTATGCTCTACCATGCGTGTGCGTTCTATTATATTGTATATATATTATATACTATACACCCTTGCCCTCAAGATTCAAGAACGATTTTGGCGATTTTGGCCCCTTTTCTTCCCTACCCGTTATGCTATATTAAAGTGTTTTGTAACAGATATACCACTTACAAATACCCCATAGGTCCATGTAGATCTGAGGTCAGTATCAAAACTCTACGTTCACTTGCAAGTTGTAGCTCAGTTGATTTCCTTCGTGTTGGTTGGTAAGAAAGAAACGATTCGGATATGCTAAAACTTAAAAGTCGTATTGTAGGGATCTTTGACGCGCACGCAATGGGTCTATGAGGCTGTGCCATCAGATTCTTCCAGCAAGGAATGCTTACCCAGCTGGAGTACCCAGCATGAGGTGTATTATTAAGTGGCTAGATTTGTCCATGATAATTTACAAACTTATGGATTGACTGGCTTCTTGGTATTCAAAGCTATTGGAATTGCATATGGAGGATCTGACATTACGAGCTGTGCTGTTCTATGTATATACCTAGTACGTCCCCAGATGACAAAGTTTCAATGTTCCAATTAAGTTTGAAGATTGAAATGCTTATAATTTTCAATGTCTGGATTAAATTCAAAGATTGAAGTGAATTGAATGTCCGAGTTAAATTCGAACAGCGGATTCCATTTCAATGTCCGAGTCAAATCCCGACAATGAAAAACATTCAAATTTGTCCCTTCAGATCAGTTCATGAGATTTGAATCATAGACAATATAATGAATGTGCTTTTATTTTGCAACAGAATTTTTTTCCACCTACGAACTAGATGGCCAAATTTCAAGACCCCTCATAAAGCAAACGGCAACCGCTCCAAAGTACACAGTCGTTTTCCATCCATATGCTTTCCATTAAATTGCATACCAACGAAATCCAAACCATCTTGTGTCGAGGGGTATCGCGCATATACATATCTTGTAAATCCCCAACTCCATAGAAAATTCCATTCATGTATTCCACAAATTTTGATCTCCTATAAATCCCACCACGGCCACTAAACTGCACTCCGTATGCAATAGAACCACTTGCTAGAATTTTGAGAGCGAAATTGAATTGTATCACATGAATAGGGGGGAAATTAGGGGGTGGAGAAATATTAGAAGGGGTTAACATCATCATACCTATAAAGACCTACCTAATGAAATTGTCGGTTGAAGTGATTCTCCTTATGATCGGTTCACGTGTCGAGGCTGTCCCGAATCACCAATTTGTTGTCGAATATTTCATCTGTCAGCTGTCAAACAGAGTCGGTAGGAAAACTTCGAAGACGTTGAGGAAGCGAACATAATCAGAATGGTAAACACTAGACAAGTCAAGTAGAAATGCCTTGTGAACCAAATAATAATTGCAATGGCATGGATGTTGGAATCATGAGCGGATTCGCTTAGCTTCTATTCAATATTAGCACAATACTTAAATCGGTTGAGAAAATTCAAAAAATACTCACCATTGATGTTCGATCCATCGCCATCTTCGAAGTCTGCATCAGCTCTGGGCCTCTTCCCTGAGGTCGAAATGGGTGAATCATTTGACTTTGGAGTTGGAGGCTGAGGAGCAACTACTAGAGATGGGGGATTCTCTTCATTTTCGTCTTCATCGTAATCGATCTCGTCTTCTTGGTCTTGTCCATTATCGAAACTAAGCTTCGTTGCCTGGGCTTCGGCGATCGAAGCATTGCTCAATGTAGCGCTGTCTGTCTCGGCTGCTGTGTCATCGAAGGTAGCATTTGTATTGGAGATAACCTCGCCCACAGACATATTCAGGAGTTCGTTATCATCGAAAGTGTCGTCATCGTCTAATTGGTAGTTTTGGAGGAACTCGGTTTCTTCGTCGTCAACACCTAAATCAAACTCGTCTCCCTCAAAGTTCTGCTGCTGTCTATCTCCAACATCGTCGTCATAACTAATTTCCACGTTATTTGTTTCCAGAGTATGATCCGCAAGATCTAAAGCTTCGCTGTCTCCATTCTGCTCGATTTCATTAACATCGCAAGGTACTTCTGGTCTATTATCTGCTAATTCAAGGCCTTTTTCATCTTCGTGTTGTTCGTTTTCGTTATTGTCCTCGTACGAGGCATACTCACGATCTTCGTCATTGGTGGCGTTCAAGTCGATTTCATCTTCTGCATTTTCAGTGTCATTCGGTGCTGCTCCGTCTTCTTCCTCGCCGTCGAACTTATTTTCGGCGTTCTCTTCTTCGTAGTCAATGTCGCTTTCTACGTCGTCAAATGTTTCCTTGGGTGGTACAGCTTCATCAGTAGGGGTCGTTTCGTCGCCAAGTTGGTCGTTTAGTTCATCAGAACCATTCTCTTTTTTGTTGGAGACTAGCTTTCGAGGATACTCTTCTTCTACCGATTGACGTTCAGTTAGATAAATGTCATTACAAGTGAAACAAAAACAGATATCAGGGAAAACGCATAGCAAGTTAAAATCGGTGTATCTACCGTTGTGTAGCCTACTTGCATTGGCCTCAGGCAATTCGGACTTCAGAGCTCCATCGCCCGAGGGCTTCTCGGAGTCCTCTTCATCTTCATAATCGATAAAGTCTCCATCTTCTTCAGTCTCGTTGTTGACCTGTTCCGAAGTTTCAGGTGATTTGCGATCCGTTGTTAATACTGACTCTTGGTTTCCAACCTCTCCTTGCTTACTCTCCTGCTCCACTTGAGGAGTTTCAGCACTGGCTGAAATGGTAGAAATTACGTCTTGATTTGTTTGGTCATGATTGGAACCAGGATCATAGTTCTCGTCATGTGTATCAATGGTTTTGAGAGACTTTTCTCCATCCTCGAGCTCGGTGTTGTACTCGTCGGGGGAAGATTCGCTGTCATAATGTTCCGTCTGATCTCCGAACTCGGTCGGATCATCTTCGCTTTCGGCGTCCCAAGTCACATAGTCAAGTAGTCCCTTGCCCTCAGCGGCCCCTTTTGAGAGCGTTAGAAATCTATCAGGACCAGTAGGCTGGATAACAAGTCTCAGATTCAAAGGGGGGATTTCTCCAGTGCCGTCGTTGTTGACTAGTTGTTCATATAGGCGAATGATCTGGCCTAAGCTCAAGTCAGGAGGATAGCTTGTGAGTTGCGTCTGCAGAGAAAGTTAGCAAAAAACAAGAAAGGGGGTGGGGTATCAACAAGACTCACCTCTTCAATCACTAATTGGAGCTCCTCTATTACCAGGCTAATCTTGTCATCTTGGGGCAAGTTCTCTTCTGCGAGGACTTTACGAATCTCGGAGCAAAACTCATTCAAGGTTTTCTCAACTACAGAGGAATTTTCGAAGAAAAAATCGTTAGGGTGATCTGTGGAAGACTTCCTGATCAATGGATAATTTCGGTTATTGTATTTGACTACTATTCCACGAGCATGATATTGATGTTCCAAATCTTTCGTAGACTCGAGTGTAGCATCATTCGTGTCAATCAAGCCACTTTCCGCAGAGACTGTGATCAAATCTGGCTGCTCTTGTTCTTGCTCTTGTTCTTGCTCTTGCCTTTGTCCTTCAGTATGTGAATTGAGATCGGTTGGGTCACTTTCAGCAGATGCAGTGCTCAAGCCAAGTTGTTCTCCATCCTCCGTATATATATTTGAATCAATTGCCTCGATGGAATTTGTTGGCTCATTAACATTGTTTTCAAGCTCTTCTTGAGTAGTGCCATCGTATTTGGGGTTTGGTGGGCTATTGGATTGTGGGTCTTCATCAGTGGGCGGATGAGGAAATGAAATAGGTGCAAACTCCTTGGAGTCCTTGGAATCTGAATTTTTTGTACTATCGGCACTATTGTCGACTACGGTTTCTGAGCCATGTATATTTACTTCTATGTCTTGCGCATTCATAGCTTCATTTTGCTCTTGTACCTCTTGGGGTTCGTCCCAAAATTGATCGGAAATGCCAGTATCCACGAAATTTGACTCTGTGGCGTGTAGCTCAGCAAAAGAAGTGTCGGAAGGTTCATCGGTTACAAACGACAAAACGGCAGGCTCCTGTTCCATGACGTGATCATCAGCTTCCTCCTCCAGTAATTCTGCATCCTCCATATGGTATGATGCATCATCACCGTCATCGTCGACCATCAGATCGTCCGTCTCGACATGTGCGGGTACATCGGTAATATTGGTATCGAAGTCTGCATCTGCATCGATATCATCTAGAATATCATCTTCGTCAACATTGCCAGTAGTGAGATCGATATCGATATCGATGTCTTCCTCGGCTGTATTGTGCCCATGCTCGGAAGCTATCTCCATGCTGTCATCCACCATTGTATGAAATGTTGGGTGTGCAAGACTCGACACACTCATGAGTTCGTGGCTTCACAGCGTTGGGTAGAAAAACCGACTTTGATTCCAAGTCGAAAATAGTAAAAGGGGATTATTGATACGAGACGTATAAGGTTGATTTTTGAAAAATGCTGTCAGGCATAAGATATGTTCGATTTCTTGGTTCCGCGTGTAACAGTAAATGTGAAAGGGTTTTAATTTGCAGTGGGGACGGATAAGACAAAGGAATGTCGGACAAATGAGCAAAAGAATCAAGGATTTGAAATACCACCAATTATCAAACTAATGATTAGATTGAACAAATTTGTTATTACTTGTCGTTAAGTGTTGAGTGTTGAGTGAGTTGATGTCCTTCTGGATAATTTGGGAACCTTGTGAAAGATGAAAGTGCGGTAGCGCGCTTTTGGAGCTTCATACGGCTTAAAGCTAAATTAGCGTTCATTTTAGCTTAGCTATCACGTGTGGATCCATGTCGGAACATTGTTTGGCTCACTGTCCGATATACACATTGCAATACGATCTGAACTGTCTACATTGAAACTCACTGACAGCATTGAAAAAGGTGTAGTTACTCGACATTTACTCAAAATGGTGCGCCACTCTATTTAATCTTTTGCTGTTTTCTATTTCGCTAACAAATTCACAGGTTGTCTTAGCAGCTTCGATTTGCACCCGGGGGGGAAAAGCTGTCCTCTCCAGGCAGTTTCGCGAAATGCAAAGGTCCAGAATTGAAGCTCTTCTAGCATCCTTTCCAAAGTTGGCTGATTCTGGAACTCAACATACGACGGTGGAGCAAGATAATGTGCGATTTGTGTACCAGCCGCTGGACGAATTATACATGGTCCTCATCACGAACAAGCAATCGAATATCTTACAAGATATCGATTCCTTGCACCTATTCGCGCAGGTGGTCACTAGCACATGCAAAACCTTGGATGAGAGGGAGATTTTAAAGAATGCATACGAGTTGCTTAGTGCATTTGACGAGATCATTACACTGGGATATAGGGAAAACCTTACAATTAGCCAAATCAAGACATTCTTGGAGATGGAGAGTCATGAAGAAAGGATACAAGAAATCATCTCAAGAGTAGGTTATGTGCATGTGTATTTCCAGGCAACCAGCTAACTGGTATCTCAGAATAAAGAACTCGAGGCTACCGAAGAGCGCAAGCGCAAAGCAAAGCAATTGGAAATGCAGCGCAAGGAGGTTTCAAGGAGTGGTAGAAGTGCTATACCAAGTAGGCCACAGTATCCCACATACACACCACCTACTCAATCCGCAAACACCGAAACCTATGATTCATATGAAGCAGCCAAAAATAAAACTTTCAAGTAGGCTATTTTATCGTCTCTGCTGGATCACTGACACTGACAATTCACAGGGCTAGCGCACCGAAAGGCAAAGGAATGCAATTGGGAAAGAAGTCGAAGACTACAGACATGTTTGAAAGAGTTCGTGGAGATATGGGTGCTGAGGTAGAAGAAACTGTTTCATCGCCGCTTATTCCAAATCATCCTACACCAGCTGCTGCCGAACAACCCTCTCACACTCCCTCCGCAATGGACCGTGATGCTATCCACGTTACTATCTCGGAGTCGATCAATGCCAAATTATCTCGAGATGGGTCACTCAATTCTTTAGAGGTTAAGGGTGATTTGAACTTGAGGATCTCAGACCCTACACTTACCAAGGTCAAATTAGATATCGTTGCCAACCAGAGTCATGGAGTGCAATTCCGCACACATCCAAATGTTGATAAAGGAGCGTTCAATGGATCTAAAACCATTCAAATGAGCAATCTTTCAAAGGGCTTCCCTGTCAATAATTCGGTTGGTGTCCTAAGATGGAGAGCTCAACCAAAGACAGATGACACTAGTGCTTTACCAATTCAATTCACTGTTTGGGTTGTTGGTGGTGGACAAGGCGATCCTCTCAACATTACTGTAGAATATGAGCTTACAGGAGAGGATCCTCTTCAGGATGTTACCGTTACTATTCCATACGCCTCGAGCGAGCCTGCAGTGTCTAGCTTCGACGCAACGTATGAAGTCTCTGGGGATAGCCTTGAATGGACGATTGGATCTGTAGACTCCTCTAATGGAGCTGGCTCTTTCGAATTTGAAGTCCAGGGTGCAGATGAGAATGATTTCTTCCCAATGCAAATCAAATTTGCTAAAACAAAGCCTTTTATTGATGTTGATGTAAGTCATACCCGACCTCTTCAATGGCAATCGGATACTGACATTTATGCAGGTTACCGATGTCACATTATTAGAACTGAATGAGGCCGTAGATTTTTCAAAGGATATCAAGTCGGTCGCTGATTCTTATCTGGTGGAGTAAGAAAATGGGTGCAGAAAACGAACGGGATCTGATTGAAGTGCATGGCGTAGGATGGATGGCAATCCATGATCTTTATTGTTTTACTAGCCGTAGAATATAAAACTTATTGATATTTTATAATGTTTTGCGGAATGTTTTGCATGCTCACTCTGCACTTTTGCACAATCAAAATCAATGTACATCTTAAATTGAAATTTCAGCTCAGCACGACGCAGGTAAGGGTATCTGCTCAGGCATTTTGATTCTAAAAAGGAAAGAACGAGCGTTTTGTAACTCTCGCTTACGTACTCATACAACAATGTGGATATTTACAAAACGCGTAGTTTTTGTATGACTATCAACCAGCTACTGGGCAATGTGAAAACAGCCACCTCATCGATAAATACCTTCTGTCTTAGATGCACTTTTATTCCAGCGGTTAAGATGGTGGAGGTCAAGCGTCTCGAGCTACTCGGCGAGAAAACTTTGCATCAAACGGTGAATCCTAAACTGCTCGTGTATTGTCCGTCGATGGACTTGATAGCATTGGGTAGCACAGACCAGCAAGTTTTAATCTACCGTTTGAATGGACAGAGAGTTTATGGGGCTGCACAAAAAGTCAATACTCTTCGTGTTGAAAAAATTAATTGGAAACCCAATGGTACCGAACGTCCCCAGTCGTCGATAATGTCGTACTGATAGCTTTGCAGGCCAGTTACTAGCAATCGCCTGGAGTGATGGATCTGTACGCCTCATAGGGGCAGAGAGTACAAAGGTGGTTCACTATTTCTCTACAACTTCAGATGATCAGGAGTTCTCTGGCGTCACGTGCATGGGTTGGAGTTCAAATACAATTGGTAGAAGAGTTGAGAGTAAGGCATCAAAGCTTGTTCCAGATACATTAAAGAAAATATTGGAGGATGAGAAGGAACTACCAACAGAGAATGCCGTCTTGGACTTGCCAAAAGATCTTGCCCTCCTTGACATTGAACCTAGCCTTCCAAAGCTAAGTGTGCTCCCTGCAGGAGGAACCTCGTAAGTCTGTCTTTTATTATCATTCTCTCTTTTGAGAACTCTGACTTATTGTTTTACGCCAGAGATGAAGTTTTTAGCTCCAGGTCTTCTTTAGATGCACTTTTCCGTCCCTTCGATCCTGAAGATAATGATGTGGCCGATGTCATGGTGGTTGGGACGAAGGAAGGCAACATCCACCTGAGCATCTACGACTCCTTTGTTGTAGGATCTTTCAAATCCCCAGTTATAGTTCAGAGACGTCCGGCATATCTTATTTCTCATGCATCCCATAAATTATGTTCGACTCATGCATTGCTCATGAAAACCACCGAATCTGAAGAAAGGATCTATTTCGTCCCAATGGATCTTCGTTTCTTGTCAGCTTCTAGCGAATATCTATCCATCCTTGCATCGCGATCAACAGCTTTAGAGAACCTTCTTAGATACATCAACCAAATACAATGTCTCATGCTTGCAGAATGGAAGTCAACCCAAGATTTGCCCAGCAGGTTCCTCCGAAACGTTAATGAAACCCTTGCTGAACAAGAGAATCGAGATATTGTACAGGCACTTTATCATTCAGTTGCAACTGGCCATACTTTTCCAGTTGTGCGGGAATGGCTTGTGGACGAATTGACAGAAAGAGTAAGTTTGCTTTTTCTACTTTTCGCAGAGATGTACTAAATTTTTAGGGTCATAAAAGATGGGACAAAGCCGTGGTATCAGGTCTCGAAAACCTCCGTCGTTTAGTTCATGAGAATATGCTTCCAGCCCTAGATCGTTGTTCTGTCATTCTCAGCCGATTGAATGGAATTGCCAAATTTCAAGGCTCGGATTCTCCATTGGGCTTTTCCAGTGCTCAAATAACTTCGATTATGGATACGATCGCGTCTCTGCATCTTGTTTCTGCCAAGATTTTACTTCAAGTAGTAGATGAGCTCGACCTTTTTACTTCATTTTCTGCTTGGCTTCGTCACGAGATAGATAGGCTCGCATCTGATGTGTCTTCACAAAATGATGATGGTGATAAAGAGGCTCTAGTTGATTACGGTAAGGTATTACTGTACATTCAAACAGTAATGACCAATAGCCCTCTAGCAGCTTTCATCGGCGAGGTTAAACCTGAAGACTACGAGGAAGAAAGTGCGCATGTAGGGAAAGGCGCTCAAATGTTTGATCTGCTCACAAGACAGTTAGAAAAGCAAGAGCAAGGTCTCAAATACAGAAAAACTCTGCCGCAAGTGGATTTTCTTTGCAAGTATTTGAGGACTCAAGCGACTAGTATCTTTACTCAAATTGCAGATGCCGAAAAGAGTAATGTCCTTTTCGGTAAGGCGAGCGAACTAGGCATGGCTCACAAAGATGTGTCGGTCGAGATGAAGATGAAAACAATTGTTAGTATTGTTACTATGATTTGTGCAGCCTATCACTGATTCATTTTAGGACCGTAACACATGCCATGGCTATGTCGCCTTTGTGCCAAAAGATTTCTTGAATCAAGGTCAGTCAATACACTCTCATATATTTACCTAGGTGTTGGTTAACTGAAGATAGTTCAAATCGTTCAGGTTGAGCTTCTCGTCGAGAATGGTATCAGCACTGTGCGCAGCACAAGTTCTTCTATCATGCAGCTTGGAAATGGACACATCAAAGATCTTAAGTTTTTGGACGACAGGACCATACTCGTGCTATGGGAGGCCGACGGTAAGGCTTAATCAATCTTTATCTTTCGGTACTAACATGGTTGTAGGGAAGTGCAATCTTCTCGGTATATTCTACAGTAGTGGAGGTGGAGGCCACATGAAATATCAACCTCATAGAATCTCTGCAAGTCGCTCCAAAGCAATCATTTTCAGCAACGAAGAGGTAATCGACAGGTTTCTGCAAAGCGAATTTGCAGTCGATGAGTCATTTATCCCAGAATATATAATGATCCGACCGCAAATTGGCTCCAAGAACAGCGACGAGAGGAAAAGATTAGTGATTTTGGCCAAAGATAGACTCCATTACAAGGTTTTCAAATGGACTGGGGCTCCTTCTGAGGGAAACATCGACGAAGATGTTCCAATGTCATGAATTTGAGTAAGTATAGTATTACCACACAGCAAAAAAGATTAACAACAAAGAATCTTTCCATCGCTTCTGCAAATTGCATCGAGTATGCAGAATTCAACAGGGAATCTGATAAGACACAATTATCGCACGAATTAGATTCAATCAACAACACCTAAGTAGCTTGAAGGATTCTGCAAATGATAGATAAAGATACCCCGGAAGGAGAGTGGGGGAATAGTAGTAGCGGCGGATGGCATTTGGCGGACACACTAAAATACGGTTTGCCGCCTCGAAATACATCAATTTGACCACGTTCAAATTAAAGAAGTATCAAAAAATCAATAATAATAATAAGGATCAACCCGACTTACAATCAGCTTATGTCGTATCTTTCCCACGCGCTTTTCTCTAAACTTGGAATCTTAGAGATAACTAATTGACTCGCTGCTGTACCTCGAGTGAGGTGTTATGACGTTACATAATGAACAGGTGTCTGGAGAACGAAAGAGCATAAATGGCGAGATACGAGAAGCTGGCCTGGAAGCTGGATTGCCGTCTCCAACCGACGAATATGGAGAAACTCAAAATGATGTCAACGACATGCTTAGATTGGGAAAGAAACAAGAATTCAAGGTGTGCAAATCACAGTACAGCTGGCTTCGACGACGGCAGCAAGTTGACTTAGCTTTAGAGAAACTTTAATCTCATCTCAACGCTCGGTTTCATTTCAATATACATGGCAACATGGGAGTTTGTTCTGGTGTTCGTAATTCAAAATTCCCTTGTCGATGAGATAGATTACCTTACAGAACTATAGGTCATTGAGCGTTGGATTGATCAATGGAGGATTTGCTGGATTGTTCTGGGTGTTCATTGGGACGGTGATATGCTATTCGTCAATCGTGGCGTCGCTTGCAGAGATGGAGTCAATGGCTCCTACGAGCGGTGGTAAGTGTCTCATGTATTGCTTACTTCCTTGAACAGTGAGATTGATAAATTGCAGGTCAATATCACTGGGTTTCCGAATTTTCTCCCCCCAAATATCAAAAGTTCCTAAGTTATACCGCCGGTAATGACACCCCATGCCTATTCTCCTTCTCCCCAGACTTCTCCACTTTTGCTAACCATTCCCGCTAGGCTGGATGTCGAGTCTTGGCTGGATCGCCAGCTTGGCTAGTAGCGTCTTTGTCCTTGCTACTCTCGTTGAAGCAATTATCGACATCCGAAATGCGGATTTTTTATTTTCATCATGGCAATATACGCTTATCATGATAGCTTATTTGCTTATTACCATCGTCTTTAACACATGGGGCGCAAGACTCCTGCCTATCATTGAAACCACTTCTTTGTTTGGACATTTGGCAGGGTTCCTGATAACTATCATACCACTATGGGTTATGGCACCGAAAAACTCGACAAGAAGTGTATTTTTGGATGTGGTCAACAATGGAGGATGGAGTAATACAGGAACGAGTTGTTTGATTGCGCAGGTTAGCGTGCTGTATTGTAATCTTGGTAAGTCACCGAAGATTTGAATCTTTAAATTAAGTTTGAATCCGTGGTTGATAAAATGGGGACATGTAGGATCTGATAGCGCAGTGCATATCTGTAAGTACCCTATTTCCTCACAAGATATGACCATCCAAATGCTCACATACCGCTCAGCCGAAGAAGTAGAAGACGCGTCGATCAACGTTCCGCGAGCGATGTGGTGGAGCTACATCCTCAACGTTTTCTTGGGCATCATCACGCTAATAACCATGCTCTTCTGCATCGGTCCCCTCGATGCAGCAATGGAATCTCCAGCTCCCTATCTAAACCTGTTTCTAAACACAGGATCTAAGGCCATGGCCACGGCTCTCATGATTATCCTTCGTATGTTCACCAACCTCACACTCCGATATTGATTTCCATCACATGTAGTGCTCTATTTCCCAAGACAGCTTTAACACTACATTTTCACGCATTTCCTTCCCAAATTGTCCTCAATTATAATACTGACTCCCTTACCCTGTAGTGATACTTGTCTTTTCTGGAAATATCACGGCGTTGGCTACTACGAGTAGGGAATTGTGGGCTTTTTCAAGGGATAAGGGTTTTCCATGTTCGCTATGGATATCCAAGGTAGGATTAATCAATTTTTCAACCAACACTCCCTCTTCTTCGGAAAGTCTAACGACCTTTAGATGAACCACAAACTCAACATTCCCCCTAATGCCATCTATCTGACCTGCATCCTCACCGTTCTCCTCTGTCTCATAAATTTCGGTTCTTCCTTCGCTTTCAACATCGTTGTCTCCCTCTCCCTCCTCGCACTTCTTTCTACTTACATGATAAGTATCGGATGTGTTCTCTTGAAGCGCATCCAAGGTAAATCTCTGCCTCCAGCGCGATGGAGCTTGGGGCGATTTGGATTACCGATCAACGCATTTGCTTTTGCGTATTGTGGGTTTGTGATGGTTTGGAGCTGTTTTCCGAATGAGGCGCCGGTCACACTTGAAAATGCTAATGTGAGTAACTTCTTGATCTTCTAGAACTGAAAAGATAAGATTGTGAGATGCAAGATAGGCTAACGACTGATAGTGGGCACCGGCGGTCTGGTTTGCAGTTATTGTGATTGCAGGCTTGATATATATTTTACATGGGAGGAAACATTACACACCACCAGTGGTATTTGTAAAAGGGAGAGGAGATAGTGAGACGTTGCAAGCAGTGGACTAGAATGTGGAAGGGGTGAATTTGTGACATGTTACCGTTTGTATTGTCTATATCTGTCATGAGAAGTAGACGTACATAATCACAGAATCTTTCTGGGCTGTCGCTCATCGTCTGCAATTTGCAGATAACCTTGGGGTTGGGAGATGTAAGGAATACTCTATATATATCTTCTTTCTATTATTTTTCCAGTCAAGCTATATATGGACAATATTCGAAAGACTATGAGCTTTTCTGAAAAATTCGATCCTATCTGATCAAACAACTTATAATACAACGTTTTAGAATACAGCTTCAACAGATCAATTCGCTTTCCCAAATCAGTAAAATGGTCGTCAATCATTACGCAAATTCGATGGTATCCTTGCGACGAGTAAGATTGTACATTTCTCCCTTCCTTTCACGTACCTACAATCTCTCATATCTTTCCGCGATTAGGTAGCTCTCCTGTATTCAAGTGATAGAACTGTATTCATGATTAGCTATACTTCTCCTCTCGCAGAAAAGGAAGGAAACAATGAACGAACCTGCCTAGCCTCATCCTCGGTCTTCCCCGTATTTTCTGCTTCGCCTCCATGAATCAAACCCAATTTATTCTTCCTCACAACGTCGAACCAAAACGACTTATCAAAATCTCCATTTTGGAGTTGCTTCTTGAATTTCTCAATGAAATTGTTGTAAATATTTGGTTCAATAAGTTCAATGAGTTCAGTTCTCATAGTTCTCAAATACTCTCCAGCTTGGTCCCAGGTAGAATTTCCGGTGCTTCTTTTGAGCAGTGTACGAACAGTATCGCCCATTTCTCGAGTAACTTTGACGACGCTATCTGTGGAATCAGTGCTCGAAAGGGCTCGCTTAAATTCTGGGATAGCGTTCTCTACGGTGATTTTTTGACGTTTTTCTCGGCCGAGGAGAGCTTCTACATCGAGGCCTGAGAGAGGTTTGACGACTTCTCGATTGCGTTTGGCTTTGGCTGTGGCAGGAACTATGATAACATTAGATTAATGAAATTGGAGAAGGATTTTGCAAGTGAAGTACCTTTTTTGACATCGGCTGCTTCGATCAGCTTTTCAAGCTGGCTACTTGATTTTTCGACAAGCTCGGTGGGAGGATGTGACCATTTTGTTAAAACATTTGGAGGAGGAGGTATGCCTTCATCTGGCTTGACAGCACGTCTGCGTATAGCTTGATTAATGCGATGAAGGACAGGAGAGTAGGTGTCCTCGATAGCCATGTATTCCGCTGGTTCACTGCCCAAAGTCAGTCATATGCTATCCACAAGGCTACCAGAGTTTCTTCTTACCCTTCATCATCCTTCCCGGCTGTTGATAGATCCATGCTGTCGACGAATTTACTCATTGCAGCTTTCAAGTCGTTACTCGGAAGGTTTTTGTGCTTCTCCATTATTCCACCAGAACTATTGAAAACCTTGTCAAGAGGCGCAAAACGATAAGTCCGTACATCTTCTGCAAATGGAAGGGGCACATCAATGAGTCCCTCCAGATCAGGCTCTATGAAGGGAGCGAGAAGTACAATCAGTGGATCTGATCCATCTTTCTTGACTATTCTAGCTACAGCACACGATTCCAGCTCATGAAGAGCATGGATGAGAGACGACAATGCCATTTTTGCCTTCTCGTTTGTCTTTTGAGCAATAGTGATGCAACTTTCTCCCATGTTGAGGTATCTCTCGTACTGAAGACGTTAGCCCATACATAAAGATACCTTGAGGATATGCTCTTACATCGTTTGGCACAAATCCCATAATCGAGAAGTCCTTTATTGTCTGAAGTTTTGTAACACTTTCATCAGATTGACTGATAGGAACAATAGTGCTGCCATAATCGTAGCCCCTTTCCAGGGCATCTTTTTCGACATCTTTCTTACCACCCGGTGCAGTTGGATCATTGACTTTATAAGTCCTTGCTTGTGTGACTGAGGTAAGATGATCAGCATCTGCTAGGTCGTCATCGATTGGTTCATCTGTTACTCGATCAACATAACTCTTTGCGGAAACAGGTTTGGCTTGTTTTGTTTTAAAATATCGAGCAACATCTATCGATATAGCTGTTTCGGGGTATTTATTCACATCTCCTAGAGTGAGTGGTCCTATGTAAGTATTATACTCTCTTGTGACTTTGACTACAGGTGTTGCGAGGGCTTCAATTGCTTCAGCTGTGGTACCAAAAATTCCGTCCGAACATTTTTCTGTGAAAGATCTGAGGAGTTTTTCATTCTCAGACTATTGATTGTTAGATTTGCAAGAATAATCAGCGGGTTGGTGACCCTCGCACCTTGACCAGATCTTTGTCTTCCTCTTTAAAGCCATACTCCGCATCATCAAAGTCGACTCCTCTAGTCTCGTGTTAGCAAAGTCAATCTTATGAATAAGGACAACTTACATGACGACTAGTCTAATATCATTGTTGTTGATTTCCTTCGCAATATCATCAAGCTCCTCGCCGTTCATAAATCCATTGCCATCCGTGATCAAAACGATCTTCCTGGCATACTTGCCTGGCTTTCCACTCTTCAGCGTAGTATGCTTTTTTATCATTTCCATCGCAACAACAATCGCCGATATAGCGTCTCCATCATCAGTATTACTAGGTCTGACAGCCTCTTTCACTTCCTCCAATTGTTGCATCTGAAATTGACCAAGATGCTTCAATACAGATATGTTCGCATACCCCTCTTCTCCACCACTATGCAATTCATTGTCCGTTTCATCAGTACGAAAGCCAACAATACCAATCCCATCAGTTTTGCGATCAGTAGACATCGTCAATGTGATCTTATCCCAGACATATCGCATGCCATATTCGAGGTCAGTTTCCACGCGTCCGTGGTGACAGTCTCCCAGGGATTTGCCTAAATCGACGACGTAGACAGTTGCTTGTTTTTCCATTTTGAGAGAGAGGCTAGGAGTTTACATGAGATAAACTTCAAAAGGGGGAAAGTTGGTTTGGAAATTAAATAGTGTTTCAATCGCGGTGTCAAACAGAGAGCAATCAGGCAGACGCGCCATGGGGTCTCTAAATTCACGGGAATCACGCAATCACGTGCGACGGACCTCGGTGTTTGATGGCATCATGCATTTATGAATGAAGCCGTCATCATATAAACAGTTATCAGACCATCCATCCACTTCGCGGCGATTTGAATTGCCACTTAACCCAACATTCGTTGACTTTTCCCTCCATTAACCCATTCTCAAATACAATATTAGAAATTCATCAAATATTTCTACAATTAAACATTCAAGATGCCAGACCTTTCAATCCTTAAAACTCCCGGTCCATACCACATCATAACGTATGTTTTCCCCCTCCTTCTTTTACCCAGCTAACAACTCTCTTACTGTAGTTATGGAACCCTTCTCGGAACTCAGTTCTTTCAATCTTTTGTCAATGGAATCGTAGCCTACAAATCTCTTCCACGCCCTCAATTTTCCGTCCTCCAACAAAACCTCTTCCCAATCTACTTCGGTATTCAAACTGCGCTTCCAGCCGTGCTAGCAATTACTTATCCAGGCTCGCGCACACACTTGGGGACTGTATCAGGAATTTCAGGGACCCTGGCCGAGTTTAATAGATGGAGTGTTATGGTGCCATTGGCTACGATGTTTGTGACGGGATTGGCGAATTTGGTGGTTATTGGACCGGCGACTACAAGGATTATGAAGGAGAGGAAACATCAAGGTAAGTCATTGGGCTGAGTGAGGGCTAGGATGAAGGGGTTGAATGTATATGATGGAAAAGACTAACAGTTAAATTCACAGAAACGAAAGACGGAAAGAAGTCTTATGATGCAGCGCCGCATTCAAGAGAAATGCAGAGGTTAAACAAGGCATTCGGAAAAATGCATGGGGCTTCCTCATTGGTGAATTTGGTATCTTTCCTTGCTACGATTTGGTATGGTGCTAGTCTTGCCGAGAGATTGCAATAGATGAATTTGAAGCTCGAAAGTTGGTGGGCGGATGAATCTAACTCCTGGAACTGGCATGTGAGCAGTTATACATAGGTAGAGGATGGGTCAACAAATATTTTGATTGTTGAAGATGCACTTGCAGAGTCTACTGGATCGTGGTTTCGGGAAGATTCGTTTAACGGGGACTTATCATGTCCAAAGAGCTGCGGAGAATGGTCGATTGTGAGAGGAGTATTTGCAGTTATAAGATACCTTGAAACACATCCTGAGAAAGCTATGATTTTATGACTATAAGACTGGCTCTGTAATTGACATCGATTTATTCTACCGGGGTACTCAATACAGATAGGTACCTATCAACAAAAGGCAAATTATTCAATTCGCCCGAAGAGGGTCAACATATTCTTACAAACTCCTATATCCCACGCCACCTACGACTGGTATTCATAAGCATCAAGTCAAAGCCATCCACCCAATTCTCATAGTGATCTTCGAACTGAAAACGTAACAGCACCAAGTTCCATCATGTGATATACAAAAGCAACCTCATCAATACTTTCATGCATATTTGCGCAACTATTTGAGATATTAGTAAATATAGACTTCAAATGAACAAATACAAAACTTACATCAAGCGTCAAGGTTTTCGAGCTATTAACTTCCTGATCTCTGAAAACACCGACCAAGCTCTCACTTCCTTGGAACAGTCCAGTCTTCAAACTAATGACAATGAATTGCATGCCAGGTCCTGCATGCTCCTTGATATAGTTTCTGATCTTTTCTACGTTCGCATTGTCAAGAGCGGCATCGACTTCATCCAAGACGAAAAATGGAGAGGGTTGGTAACTATGGACTGCGAACAGTAAAGCCAAGGCTGCCATAGTTTTCTCTCCACCAGATAGATGCTCCATGTCACGGAAACGTTTAAGTGGTGGCATGGCGTGGTATTTGATACCAGAGAGATACGGGGCGTCACTATCTTCAATATCAAGATATGCCTGACCACCGAGAGGGAAAGTGGCTGAGCGCGTAAGATCTTTGTACACATGAGTGATTTGATCGGATATATGTGCGAAAGCTTTATTGAAGCGATCATATCGTTTCTCCTTGATTTCGTTGAATGCATCACGAGTAGCTTTTGCAGCATCGCGAGCAGCGTTGAAGTCCTTGTCAGTATCTCTAAGACGTGTCTCGACAACATCCAGTCGCTCAATCGCTCGCATATTAGGGTTGAGTTTCTCAAGTTCTGAGTTGAGGGTAGAAATCTTTTCTTGCAGTTGCTCCTCAACATCTTCATCGTCAGGCTGTTTCGTGTTAGTGAATAAATTTTGACATATTGCAGACTACTTACATTTTTCAGGTCATCTGAAAGCCCATCGAAATCCACATCTATGCCGTAATCGTTGATAATTTCCTCGGGGGCCTGATCGCCTTCATCAACATCCATCGCGTCGGGATCGTCTTGTTGCAAGCTCTCGTTCGCAGGGAGACTATCTAAGGATTTCGAGCCCGCTGCCAATGGTATAGCTATTTGTTCCATCTTACAGCGTCGTAACAAAGCATATCGGTTCGCGCTGGTTCGTTGAGCTAATGTCTCAAGAGTCGTGATGGATTTTGTACGCTCATCAATTCCCTTGCTCGCTTTTTGTAGGTCGTGCCTTGCGACATTGACTTTATCAGTTTTTGCCGCGAGTTTTTCTTTGTGTTTCTGAAGGGCATCCTCCAACTCAGTCACGGCTGCTCGATCTTCATCCATCGCCTGTGCAAGTTTTTCTTTTCCTGCCTCGTATTCCTCAATGTCCGATTCAAACTTCTCAATGTTGTTCTCGAGGTTGGCCAGGCGGGTCTTAATTTCCAATAGGTGATTGTCTTCCCAAGCCACCTGGCTTTTCAACGTTTGTTTCTGTTTCTCAAACTCGTTCTTCTTCTCCAAAGCCTCTTGCTCAAGACTACCTTGCTGTGCTTCATAATCTCTAATATTCGAGTATTCAGTTCTCTTGCAGAAATTGGAGAAGATCTTGTCCGCAACTTTCGCGATAGCCCGTTGAAACTCTTCAACCTTTCGCCGAGACTTTTCAAGTTCTGCACTCTTTTCTTCGTACTTGGGCTCCACATCTTCCAATTGGCGTTGTTCATGATTTAGTTTCTTTTGTTCACTAGCAATGTTCTTCTCAAATTCGACCAATTCATTTTGCTCATAGGTAACCTTCTGGTGTAGGTTATTGATGGCGTTCGTCAATTGTTCCTCCTCGCCTGTTCTCTTTTTGTTGGCATCTAGTGCCCTGATCTCACGAGTGTATTTTTCCTCAAGAGCCCTAAGCTTATCCATCTCAGCATCACCGAAAGCTCGCTTGTTGCCACGTCCTTCTGGAACACGTCCACCAGTAATATTACCAGCTTTAGCGATCATGACACCATCCAGAGTTACGGCTTTGACTTGGAGCTTTCTCCGATAACATATGTCTTTGGCTGTTGCAATATCATCACAGACAATCGAGCTTCCGCATGCGTAAGACATAGCTCTTTCGACAGACGAGTCAAAATCAATTGTATCGATAGTCAGGCGGGCCTTGGCCAGTCCTTTCAACGAAGAGTTTGTCGCATTGACCTTGATATTATCCAAAGGGATAAAAGTCATAGGGGACTTTTTGCGATCTTTCAACCATTGCACACACTCGGTACCAGTCTTCTCCGTATCAACAACAATGGAGTCAAAGTCTCGACCAAGAGCTGTGCTTACAGCTTCTTCAAATTTCTTCTGCTTAGGCTTGCAAAGATCGCCGATGCGCCCTTTAACGCCAGGAAATATTCGCTTCATTTCGGTTATTGTTTCTTTGACTCGTCTCTCCTTCTCGCCCTCTCTTCGACCATATTCGCCCTCTTTGATTTGTTTGAGAATTTCTTGAAGTTTCTCTTCGAGGTCAGTCTTCAATTGGTTGTGTCGAACGCGTTCTGACCTGAGAGAATTATGCTCCTCTCTCTTCGCGTTTCTGTCCTTAGTTGTCTCGGAAATCGACTCCTTAAGGTTGTCTCTGCGTCTCATGCTGGTGTCCAACTCACTTTGGAGCTTTTCCACCGAAGCCTGCGCAGCCTCCATTTTACCTTTCAGACTATTCGCGGTTACTTCGTCGGTTTTCAATTGGCGGACCAGATTGTCTAGCTTAGCTTGATCCTCGGATGTCTTCTTGACAACTTCGGACTTGAGCTTCTGGTACTCCTTGAAATCATCGTCGCTTAATTGCTTTCCCTGATTTTTGAGAGTTTCCTGCCACTGGACCTCGAATTGTTTCTGTGCCTTTTCAACTAACGCGAGGTCCTTTTTAAGTTTCACAATCTTCCCGGACTTGTCGTCCCGCTCTTTTGCTATGAGAACCGACTTCCTTCTCAACATTTCGATTTGAGATGTGACAGTCTTAATTTTTTCATCAAATGGTACCAACTCGACTTCTTTCTCCTCGAGTTCCTTTTCCTTCCGCTTAATATTTCGCTCTATCCGGCTGGCATCTTTGTTAACTTTAGCCTGTTCTGCTCTAGCCGCATCCAAGTTATTTTGATACTTTTCCACGCCACGGCGATACTCCTTTAGGTTTTCCTGGTGCTCTTGAATGCTAGCGCTCGACTCGTCCATCACTCTTTGAAAATGGTACAACTTCCATAAGATGTGCTCAATGATGGCTTCATCCTTTTCCACTGCCTTGTTCTGGAAGGCCTCAGCTTCTTTCTTTTGCTCTTGATACTGCTTGATCTCGGAATTAATGCCACGTCTGCGGTGGAGGCTATAATTTTGCTCGTCTGCTGCCTTCTCCGCTTCCTCTTGTAATCTTTCATATTCAGCTTTGTATTCCAGACTGCCAGATATTTGTTCGATGAGTCGGGTCAGATCCTTCGGCGATTGCGACGCAATAGCTTCAACATCGCCTTGAAACACCAAAAAGTTCCGAGCTTTAATCAATATGTTCTCGGATTCAAGAGCATCATTGTATGCTTGTGCGGTGACGACGCGATCGTTGATACGATATTCACTGGCACCTTGGTTTGTGATTGAGCGCTTCCACTTCTGTTCCTCGCCTTGATCATCTTCGTAAACAGCCATAACCCACGCACTCTTGGGATCGTTACGCGCTGGTTTCTGGGATTGTGATTCCTCATCTGAACCTTCTCCATCCCCGTTTGCGAGTCCATTGGCAGTTGGGTCAACCGCGGATCCATCGTCATTGATTTTTGAGGTTTTCAATACTCTTCCGCGGTATACGAGATCTCGCAATTGTGCAGATCGTAAATGAGACGATTTGATGCCTAGAACAAAAGAGATCGCGTCCATGCTGTTATTTAGTTAGCAGTCTGCTGATGTTATTGTACAAACCACCTACGAATTCGATTTTCCAGAGCCATTTGGACCGATTATGGAGGTAAAATACGAGTCTCCAAACAAGAGGACATGATGCCCCTTATACGACTTGAAATCTACATATGATTAGCTTAAGCAACGGCAGTAATAGCGCGACCATCTTACTAAAAAGCTCGAGGCGTATGAGTTTTCCCATCTTGACTTATACGCGTTGATCGCAGCGGGGTGCACGCGTTAAGAAAGAAGAGTAACTACGAAGGTAGGATCCAGTCAGGAATAAATGGAGATAGTTAAGAGTGGCGCATTAACATGGCATCCGTACCAAGTAGTTATGCTTCTAGAACGATAAGATGGAGGTAAAGTTTTGGTGCAAAGAGAGGATGGATTCACGATTTCTTTAACTTCAACTTTCCCAGCAGCTCTACTGAGCATCACAAAAAGTCGCGGGACGCGAATTATGGATCACATGACATTAAGTCAAGCTGTATCTATTACAGTCTTTAACGGTGAACGTAGATATAAAGCCTTTTAAATCCTTCCTCAGCTCGAGCTCACTACGTTTCACCCTATGTCACATTGGACCACCGTACCCCCTTAGATAATCAGGGTTCTAATGTCTGGTGGTCTTAAAGTAGCAATGACGAAATGTAGGTATTCCCCAGATCAGCTTTATTGATTGATTGGTAGCAATTCCAAGGCCTGTACACGACTCTACTTTTCTACTCCTAGCTAATACAAAGTTATCTGCTTTCTATTGGAGACAACGATTACATCAAATAAAAAGTAACAAGTTTTTTTTTTCGAAGATACCCTCATCTCCCTATTTCATCCCTTCGAAATCTAACGAATATCTACAATAAAGAATCTCTTGTGGTCAAGCAACAGTTCGCTCTTTTGTAGATACTATAACTAGGTGGTCTGTTTCCATTTGAACACCAACATCCAACCACATCTCTCAAAGCAAGCACGACTTTACTTCCTTCAACATTACTCACGAAAGAACTGGTCCAGAACAAAACCTATCTATTTTGGGGACTAGTCTCGAGTCGAGAGGCACCTAAAACATCTCACTCTTCTTTGATAACCTATCATCTTTTCAAACTTTGTTCATGTGCTTCGATCAACAGCAGTCATTACTACTTGGGCATTCTTGAACGCATATTAAGACTCTTTATCCACAGCAGCGTACGTTTCCGTAAGTTTTTCGACTTGTTGTTTTTCATCTGTGATATTCGGGTGCATAGCACAAGATTCTTTGGACACATGGCTGATATAGCTTTAAGAGGCGCTTCTGCATTTAGGCGCATTTGTTTCTACCATCCGATTCACGCCCGTTCACGTTCGATAGCAGAAATGACTGAACCTATACCAATACCAGCTTCTAAGTCAGAGCCTGCACTCGAGTCAACTTCGTTATCTTCTGAGCAACATCTTACTGGCGGGGATTCATCAACTGGAAGCTCTCCCCCGGAGGATGGCATTACACCCACATACACAACCTCCGAAAATGGAAGTCCTCGTCTCTCAAGGCGCCCTTCTGCCTCTGGAAGTAGCACATATCAAGAAGACTGGGAACCTTGGCCTCCTTTGGATAAGATCACTGTCTTCGACTTATTAGAGAACTTTGATTTGCCTCAACAACTCGAAAGGATACAGAGAAATCTGTCCGCGCAATCCCAAAAGGTTCGGAAGCAACGAGACAAGCTAAAGACAAGATCCAGTTATGCGAAGACCCGAGTTGTTGAAGAATGGCGAAAGCGTGTTCCAACTGCCGATGAGCAGCTGGAGAGATATAAAAAGAGGATGCGCGATAGTGTTGACAAACTTGGGACACGTTGGAATGATACGAAATCAGTGACGATTCGAGAAAAGGTCTCTTTCATATGTGGAGTCTTGAATGTTCTCATTAGTGGCTACTTGATCGGAGGATATCCTGAGTTATTCCACTGGTGGTACACTGCCCAATTACTTTACTTCATGCCCATTCGGTTTTATGCCTACCACAAACGAGGATATCATTATTTTCTCGCAGATCTCTGTTACTTTACAAACTTCCTCTGTTTTCTCTCTATTTGGATCTTTCCACAGTCAAAACGACTATTCATCAGCACTTACTGCCTGGCCATGGGCAACAATGCAGTAGCGATTGCCATGTGGAGGAATTCCATGGTATTTCACAGTTTCGACAAGGTTACGTCTCTCTTTATTCACATAATGCCCTGCGTAACACTTCATTGTCTTGTTCACCTCATCGACCCATCCGTTCAGCAATCGCGTTTCAGTGCCATCTACGACATACGTACATCTCCAGTAGGGTCAAGTAATCATTACGGCCTGTTATCGATGGCATTGTGGTCATCTATTCCATATGCAATATGGCAACTTTCTTATCATTTTCTCATCACTGTACGCCGCCGTGAGAAGATTGCTGCAGGTCGTCCAACATCGTTCACCTGGCTGCTAAAATCATACTCCAAAGTTTGGATTGGCAAAGCGGTTCTCGCTCTTCCTGAATCTATGCAAGAGCCCGCATTTATGCTTATTCAATACTCGTATGCGTTGCTCACCATGTTACCATGCCCTCTATGGTTCTGGTACCGATATGCGTCTGCATCGTTCCTCATGGCTGTATTCTGCTGGTCTGTTTATAACGGCGCAAATTATTACATCGAAGTCTTTGGCAAACGTTTCCAAAACGAGCTTGAGGAGATGAAGCGAGAAGTTCAGAAATGGCATAACACTCCCGAGTTAGTGACGTCTCCTTTGATGACACCCAGATCCGAGGGTGGAGAGATATTAGGTAACGATGGCGAGACAAAGAGACCAGGCCACCCAAGAAGTACTAGTTTGGATAAGATTCCATTACTCAACGACCAAGGAGGCAGTTCCGGGATAGACGGGGGTGCAAAGGATGTCGTGAAGGCAAGAAAGGCAGATGAAACATCGGCTTGATCGTAAATAGGGCCATGACTGATATTGATTTTGGCTCATTCATTTTGAACTCGAGCACTCACTTTTTCGTTAACTCGTTTGTGTTTTGCTTTTATTTTTGCGGTCACTGTTGTGAGATTTTGCTTTGCGAAATGGAAGGGGGGTGGACGTGTTTAGGCGTAGTGAGGGGGATATACCACAAACTGGCAGTTGGGAGTTGGGTGTTTACGCGTATATAGAGATTATGAACCCCTTAATACCAGCGAATGTATCAATCCTAGCACCTATATTGCATCTTCTATTATACCCAGACTGTTACACTTCCTAATCCTTAGAAAAGTACCCATAAAACTAATGTATCAATGTCTAGCCACTTCATCTATATCTCATGAATCTTCTCAGCCTGATCACTCTTAATATCCGTTATTGGAGATACATCACCCTTGGTGTTACTCTACCCAAGAATTCTGTCTAACCCTACCTCGCGACGTACAGCTGCCATTCTTTCGAGATCACCCCGGCCTACACCTTCGCTGCCGAACACTAGGTCCATCTCCTCCACTGTTTGATTTGTTAGCTTATAATCCGTCATGGACGCATGATTCAGGAACTTCTGAAGTTGCGTGAGACAACACGAAGATCATGTGCAATAATATAACAGCCATCACCTCTCATTCCCCATAAATACTGGAAAATACTCACAGCCTAATCTCTTCGTCTCCGGCACACCCCACCATATGAATGCCGCTCCGAGATAGGTTAACAACCCAAAGATTATATAGGTACCATAAGAAATACCACTCAGCATATCAGGCGTTACTTGCCCGACGATGAAATTATTCATCCAGTTTGAGGAGGCACCGAGTGCGATGCCGTAGGGGCGATTGGAAAGTGGCCAGATTTCTGCTACGAGAATCCAGGCGCAGGGACCCCAGGAATAGCCGAAGTGGATTACGAAAAGCCTTTGCATGTTAGACTCCGAAGAAGAACTATAAAAGGGGAAAAGAGCGTGGGGAAAGACAAACCAGACCATAGCCACAGCAGCCCAGCCCGCGGCTTTATGTTCCTCCCATGAATCTTTGTTTTTGGCGACGATGACGGCGATGATTATGTGGCATGTAGCCATGCCGATTGCACCAATTGTAAGAATGGGCTTGCGACCTAACTTGTCTATGTAGAGGACAGATGGGATGGTTGCGATGAACATTACAATGCCGACAACGCCGGTAGCGAGAAGAGAGATAGTGTTACCGGAGAGACCCAGAGAAGCGAAGATTGTAGGGGCGTAGTAGAGAATTGCCTAGAGGGAGGAGGTATTAGTGGAAAGCTAATGAGATGTTGACATATTAGGGCTTGAAAGGAGGAGGGAATTGCACATACGTTAATACCTGTCCACTGTTGAAAGAACATAGTAACGGTCGCTACTATCACTCTCTTAAACATAGGTTTTGTCTTGAACAAACTTCCAATTGCCACAAACTGTAATTTCGCGGTATTCGTCCAAGTCAATTCTTGGAGCCCAGGCCATAATTCTGCAATCGATCTCTTTTCAAACAAACTCTGGACCTTAATCTCCAAAAACTCTATTTCTACCAACTCATGGTCTTGGGGTAAATTTCTCAGTTGTGCTAGCACTTTCCTAGCCTCCGCTTCTCTTCCGTGATGTACTAGCCATCTAGGCGAGAAAGGCATGAACAAGATGCCGACAAAAAGAATTATAGCCGGAAAGAGCTGTAGACAAATTGGTACAAGCCATGCTGCATCGGATTGCGTCGCACCAGTTCCTCCTATATAGTTTGTGCCGTAATCGATCCAGAAGGATATCATGATACCGGCACAGATGGCAAGTTGTTGGAGGGCAATGAGAGATCCGCGCACTTCAGGCGGAGCGACTTCGGCATTGTACATAGGGACAATCATACTGAGACTTCCCACGCCCATTCCAGTGATGAAACGGCCGCCCAAGATTGCGGAGTGACCAGCGGAGATGGCAGTCGCTTGGACTATGACGCCGATGATAAATACAGCTATAGTTGAGCATTGAATGTCAGTAACATTTTCAAAATGATTCTATCTCGTCCTAGGCATCTGGAACCCTTTGCATATTGAGAATTGAAAAAAAGAACATACCGGTAGCAATTAGAATCCCGTACTTTCTACTCAATGCCTCTGCCATAAATCCACTTAGGAGTGCTCCAAGCCAGGCGCCCAATTCCAATACACTAGTTAACCATCCTTTTCTGCTTTGATCTGCTGGATCTGTGCTATCATAATTTCCCATGTGAGACATGAATGAATTCATAGTGAGCACACCAGAAAAAACGCCTTGATTGTAACCCTGTTTTTCACACAATGTGAATTAATTTCGTAATCAAAATTTCTTTCTTGAAGATGTATATGAAGACACATACGTATAACAATCCTCCAATGCAAGCGAACAAGGCAATGCTGAAGACTCGAAAGTTTTTAACTAAAGCCGCTGGGCCACTGGCACCCATAAGGCTTTGTCGACGTTGCAGAGCCGCATCGTGAATGCCGTGAGCGGGAGCCCCGACTGCCATAGTGAATAATATATTATTATGGGAGCTTTCACAATAGCGAAGTTTTCGGGCAAAATTGGGATTGGAGAGATGATGACCGAGAATTGTCTCTCGTTATATTTTTTTCCTTACTGGCTCTAAACACATATCCTGGAGCTCTGAGTTCCTATGGAGTACGCATCATGAAGCTGCAGAAGGAGCTCTGGATAAACTAATGGCTAAATGCGAAATACCCATGGAAACGACCTATCATGGGTTCATCTGTACAGTAATAGGGTTTTAGTGACAAAGGATTCTTGTCATTATGCGAGCTATTGAACGTTGTGGGGTGAAGGATCGTCGTCCTTCCCCGCACTCGGACAGATTATGGAGATGTCAAATAGGCTGATTGAAATATCATTGCGGGGTTGACCAATAAATCGATGTGATAAGTTTGATGAACAACGGATGGTGGGTGAAGCACAGTTTTACGTGAGTGTTATGTTATCCTTTCGATGCAATACCGAAGCTGATATTGCATTTGTGGAACATCGGCGAGGCTTAACCTAGGTGCAGGCTCATGCAGCAAGAGTGCCAGGTTCACGGGTCACATATCATCCACTCCAGAACTTTGGTACAAGGACGACAAATTTGCATTGTTTGAACCTTGTCCTCTCACGATTGTGGCAGTATATGATATACTTTACTGCATCAATATTCGAAATGATCTCCGTGCAATGAATACGAACGACGATAGTAGAAAGATAAAGTTGTATGTAACGATATCCGATTTGATGTTGCTTTCGTTTGGACTTAGCTCTATCATGTCCAAAAAATCCCCTGCAGTTTAAAGAGAATGACTTGAATTTCTCCACATTCAACGATCTATTATTTATCCTGCGTTCAGGAGGTTGAAAAATTGAACCCCGTCTGCACATCACAACTATTATCCAGAATTTATCAAAGCTGAACAGAATGCGATGAGAGCTTTCTCGAAGTAAAATCTTCCACATATCTAATATTTCTATCGCTTTCTGTTTTGATAGATGCTGGTGATGCCGGATTTACTTTTTGGGCGGTGGATTTACCAACTACCACGAGGCACCCCAAGAGCAAACTTTTGGTGTAAATCAAATGGAACGACAACTTTGTTCGTAAAACTGGGGACGTTTGCCAAAACAGATAACTGAGTTTCATCAAGGTCCACTTGTTGAAGTGTACGGAGAAACGTTGTTTCCAACAACAAAACTATCTTTTAGATATCGGTGGTATGTGAAGAGGGAGATTGAAGGGAGTGTAAAAGATTAAAGGAAGTACGGAATATTGAAGCTCGCAGGATATCGAATAACAGAATGCTGCCCCAAAAGCTTGATGTATGTAGAGACAAAAGAAAGCACTAGCTTTGCATATGGAATATGGGTGTGAATACCCAGTGGCAGGAATGGTTGCAATGCCCCAGGTTCGTGTACAAATGCACGCTCATAGACTCGTTGAAGTTGGGAACTTGACTTAGTAGCTAGTACAGTACTGAACATCAAAGTATAGCAATGAAGATATGATAGAAGGCGCCAGTATTTCATCCAATGTTTGTGTAGAAATTTCATTGCATACACTCCAATTCCGTATGATCAATTGTCAATTGTCAATCGAACAATGCTTACAATCTCATTGTTCGATAACTGGAGCGGGTGGATGCTGATGCAGGGAAACATGCACGGACCGTGATAATGTGTAAAATCTGTGGATTACTAATACATCGGAATATCCTGATACTTTTTTCCGATGCTAAACTCAAAATGGGACTTGATCCTTGATGTCAGCTAAACCTAATCGGAAGGGGCAACCACATCGCGACTACCAAACTGAAGATGTTGGCTACATCAAACATAGCTAGATCATGATAACCTCCATATCTTAAACATTATTTTCGTGTAATTCACTCTTAGAGCATCCCTCAATTCATTTACGAAGAGAAAGACGCGCATGATTGTGTCTTTATTGCTTCTGATTCCATATGCGCCTCGCCCCTCACGGAACCTAACACTAGGTATTCATCATCAGCTTTAACTGCCGCACTAGTGGCACAAACTCACCTTTGTCCACATTTTTACATTCTTGTCGCATAAATACGTCGGAGTGAATTAAATATCAACATGGCCCCGACGCCAATACCTGGAACCCCTAGAAGAGCTGCAAGTGGCTCAGGTACAAGATCTACACGTCCGAAATCCGCGTCAGCCTCAAATCGTCGATTTGAAAACCCAATTATCAAAAACCCAACATCCGAACCTCCTAAAAAGGGTCGTTACGTACCAGGCGGTCCTGGTGGAGGAGGTAGATACGTAGACGAGAACGGCCAAGATCTACTTTTAGTCGGCGGTACAGGACCAGGGGGTTATAATTATATTGGACCTCGCGGTCGTATAGGACGCGAAAACGCTGCGAACGGAGTCCAGCCTGTAGTTTATCCTCGCAGAGATAATCGCACAACGAGAACAAGGA